ACTACACAAATACTTACACACTACACAAATACTTACACACTACACAAACACGCACACACACTACACAAACACTTACACACTACACAAACACTTACACACTACACAAACACTTACACACAACACAAACACTTACACACTACACAAACACTTACACACTACACAAACACTGACACATGATTGTGTGTTTTGTACCTTTGTGGGAACTCGTTTGATCGTGACATTTTACAGATGCTGAAGTCTGTGAAAGGATTCTTATATGTTATGTACATATGATTGAATGGTCTGTACATAGGACGCGTGTCACTGTGACATTTCATTCATTTCGACGTATTGTTGCAGCACATAGAACCACACCTAGGCCCACAGGTTCTGTCTTTTCTTCTTTCACAGTACCTAACTTCATGAGGTTCAGCGCTCAAGATCTGTAGAAAAAGACAACAGAACCTTAAGCGCATGATTTTTATACCGGGTGGCCATTAGCAGGCTCGGATCGGGTCGATTAACAATAGCTTGAGTCCACACTCCACACTACCTAGAACCTTCCCTGATTGTGTGGCATCTGACCCCGAAGTGACCGTAACAATTAGTTTTAGCAGAGGTTTTACGGCGCTCGCAACTGCAAAAGGTCATAATATGAGCGGCAGAAGATTAGAGGTGTTACAAGAGAATAACAAACATAAAAAGGAAGAAAGGGAGATAAGGACGATAGATGCCTGATAGGAAAGAAAAAGCAAACCACACTAGAGCACCCGCCAATCACCCGCTGACCGTAACAGCAGAGACAACTGAGGAGCTCTTGTGGCCTAGATGTGAAGGTGTTCGCCTCTCATTCAAAGGTCCCGGGTTCGAATCTGGATAGTGGATAGCGACGGAAAATTTTCTTCTCTGGAAATGTTCTCCTTTCACACCCTTACCTGCTCTCTAGCAATGTTCTGTCGTCTGTTTTCATCTCCACTTTCTGCCCCCACCCCCTCACCTCCTTTGCCCCTCCTCTGGGCTCCTGACTCTTTCTGCAGCCTTTCTACTGTTTCTCCTAGGCTCCTTCTAACCGCTGTCTTTCTGCCACACCCCTGATCTTCTAGTAGGAAAGAACTACCCCTAACGCACTCGGACAGGGGTGGATAATCTTGGAGGTCCCGTGTGCAAGTTGCTCGCCTAAAAGATCCTTTAGTGTTCCAAAATCGGTAAGAGTAGGCTTCGGCCGCCACCCGGGCAAAATTCAAAATTTCCTACCTACTGAAAAATGTTTAATGTGTCCTGCGCGCTCATACGACCTTTTGCAGTTGCGAGCACCGTAAAACACTTAAATCTACAAGAGAGAGAGAGAGAGAGAGAGAGAGAGAGAGAGAGAGAGAGAGAGAGAGA